AGCAAAGTAACAGTTAGTACTTTCAGGTCAGTTTTCTCAACAAAGTGACACTTAAGATACCATACTTACAACTCATGAACATAGTCATCTTTCACCACTACTGACAACCCATGTTCTTGCAAGAAACCAGTAAGGCATGATTTTAGTTTTCCAATATCATCTTCTACCTGATAGTTGTAGACACCTGGAAAATAAAACTGTTTCATCACAGAACTGCAATGCTATATTCAAAGTTAATTTGTTTAAACGGCAGTGTATTTTATTTTTCTGACAAGTTCCTAAGCCAATTAATATATTAAATTATAAATAATAGACAATTAATAATAATTGAATATTCTATTGGTGCTACTCATGATAATGACAAATTCCTGCACAGCTGAACCAATTCATAACCCATACAACCCATTTCAGCAGTATCAATTCAGATAAATGCCTTAAATTCTCACTTTAATTTTCACATTCTTAAAGTTACACTCATGGAAACAAAACCACAACTGGTGCTACATTTGTAGTTTGTAGCTAGTATTATAGTAACTATTGGATCTTTATATTTCTTCTGATGACAGTAAAGAACTCTGGTATCAACATACCTGGGTATCTACCGTGCTGCTTATAAAATCTATCTACAGCCCGCAGCATCAAGTACAGCACTAGTTCACTGTCTGGGTTATCCATATGGGAAACTGAAAACAGCAAGAGAACTGGTTAGCTGGTACAGATGAAATGGAAAACCAAAGGCTTTTCATTACTTAAAAGCAAGTATTTCCTATGTGCTTAAACTGTACAAGCTGCAGTAAAAGAAATCTTAGTGGATACAACCTGCAGCTGAGCATCTCAAGAACTCAACTATCAGACATAAAATTTTGACTCCAGGGTGTATGACAAACCCACATTGTATGTATTGATATAAACTGTTCAGTGATTATATTCATGTTTCAACTCTGGCAGCTGCTACGACATTAAATGGGATATTCTTTAGTTAAAATTTTGGGATTTGAAATGCATACTTCATATTTAACTTAGTGACTGTAGCTATAAACCAGGCCTTAAATCACTTAACATACATCTTGGTGGTCTTTCTAAATACTAACTACTACTTAAATCACATTGCATATTACCAACTAACTCAAGGAGCTTTCACTTAAATTATAAATATTACAAGACATACACAAAATGTATACACTTTGTATATACATTTTGTCCAAAACATTCAGACGACTTGTATAAGTTTAATATAAACAAACTTTGATAAAAAGTACTTCCAGCTTTTTTTGTTTTTAATTTATACAGGTTCAAAAACCAAAATGCAGTATCAAGTACCTAGTTAGATAGTTCACACAAGTTGAGAGGGATAAGACAATTATTCTCTTATCTTTGGTCAGGTGAAAGCACCTTTCCAGCTCTGTCAGAATTAACTGAAGTACAGAAAAGTTTGAAGGAAACAACGTTTTGTTTATGTGCTACCAAAAACAGAGGCTGCAAGAAATGAAAACCTGAAACATGAATCAATCTGTAAGGTAATTTTTGAACTTTCAACATTAAATTGAATTCAACATTCTAGAATAAAAATTAAAAAAAAAACCCATACTTCTACTTCATACCAAATTATAACACTGCATAATGCCATCGACTGTGGAACATACAATTCTTTTTGATCACACAACCATCTGAAGTTGAAAATGCAACTGAAGTATGTGCCAAATGGAGTACTTACTGATTTCATCCTTGTTGAAAGTGTTTAAACTGTATTCTTCAGACAGAGATCTACATCGTACTACCCGGAGAAAAGCCGAGTTGCTGCCTAAGCACAGGATGTGGAAAGAGCAGCATTACCTATGTGAACGTGTCACCAATTACTGAATCTTTTTAAGTCCATATCGCTGACATCTTAAACATGACAGACTAAAACCTAGCATAATTTCATTTAACACTTCTGTTCCTTCCAGCAGCTTGCAGTAATAAGGTCTGTCAAACGACATTCAGGTCTATGATCCCAAATATTTTAGTGAAATTGTGCTATTAACCTCTAGAATCTAACGTATCTTCCATGTAAATGTAACAGCTCGCAACATGTGTAGCTCTTCTATAGCAAGTCATCTATCACAGCCATCAACTCCCTGGTTTCACCTGCCATGCTGCAAGTGAACATGGGTTCTTTTCATCTTCCGCTACACCTACCGCTGCTTCAAACATTCCCAATCAATACTCTAACAGAACAGCTACGAGCAGGAAATGCTTCTTCTCCAGTGTCACGGCTATGAAACGACCCAATGTGCAGCTACCACCTAGCACTCAAAAATGAGGAACTGCGAGGTTCTCTAAACTCCCAGCGCACACAATCTACCAACGCAGGGGCAGCGTGGTCTCGGCTACGTGCTGCTTACAGGAAAATCTTCCAGCTGCAGGAAGACTTAGCCAGGCTGCTGCGTGGACATGTATACATACCCAGAACAGACACAACCTGAAACGCCATCAACAGTACTGCTCACGTACCACTCTGTTACCTGCTGAGACCAGCAGAAGTTCACAGAGCCTGCACTTTGAAGTCGTATCACAGAACGGACCAGAGTGATTAAAAAATCAGTGATTACGTGAACAAGATATTAAGAAATCACAGAAAGCAGAGGCCACCTGCTACCTGTTGTATGGACCTGAAATCCTATCTTTTGAAAGACAAGCTTTACAGAATGAGTGTTGAGAGATGCTGAACATCTGTTACTTCCACTGACGATGAGGGCCACAACTGCTAAGCACTTATTTGAAAAATTCAAGTACTGAGTTACTGATTAATAACTACATTATCATTCAAAGGTTTTTGGTTATTTGGTCATTTGCATAAGCACAACAGAATCCAGGCGTACTCACAAAGCAGTTTTAACTCTCTCTCTGAAATAGATTCAGGTGCCTAAAAGAGAGAATATACTCATTCCAGTACATACAATGTCCAGATAATTTACATTTTTAGACCTATTAATATATTCAGTGTGAAAGAACATCGTTCTTGTAAAAAAAAACCCGGAAAACTTAAATTGTAAATGATATATCCCTCTATGCCTTTTATATGACCAAAGCAAAAGTGATAAAACAGACCACAGATACCACAAGATTTCATTACGACTTACTTAAGCCTTTTGAAGGGAACAAGGTAATTAAGCCTTCTCTTTTTATATCTGTCTCCTGACTTATTTCTGTACAGAACATCAGGGAAAAAAAATATTTCTGTGCTGCCAGAATGGCTGTACATTTGTAATTACCTTGCCTAGGGACTGTAACAACTTAGCAGCATGGTTACCCACAGCAGCAATATCCTTCTTCGCTTTGTCACGGTATCTGTTAATAATGAAGAAGTCTTAATAATTACAGCATAAAGCCATCAACTTCACAGTGAAGACCATTTCCTTTTGTTTTCTATCATGACAAAACTCAAGCTGCATGAATGGAAGTCAGCTACCTCAAGGCCATGAATGCACTTACTATCTCCCTGTACGACTGTTCGGCACAGCTGAGAAACCAGTTAAAATTGAAATGAACATTACCACCAACAGGTAAAGGAATTATATTAAGTAGGTGCAGAACAATAGCTCTATGCCTTTCTCTGGGCTTCCAAAATTTCATTAATTTCTGTATTTTAATATTTGTACCACAGCATATTAGTTCCGTTAAGACCCATGACAATGCAAACATCTCAACACAGGATTCAATACAACTCATTTACAAGCTTATTTTAAGGAACTGTAATTGTTTTATCTGCGAATTAAAATGCTGTAATGCTTATTGGAATTGAGACCTCAAGTACATAGTTATCTGCAAATTCAGGACTGACTCAAAATTCAGATGTAAGAATTCGGGTATCTGTGCAAATTTAAACAATTATGGTTTAATTTAACAAAATAACGATACATGTTACTGGCTTTACTGTCATTTATACAGAGTAACTTCTGTGAAGCAATAGCAATCGATTGTTTTAGACGTAACAGATTTATATTTTTATATCCATCTTTCTAATGCTATTTGTCATAGTTCTGAGGAATGCACCTTCAAAATTACAGATTTAATTTTGACTAGTAAACACTAAGGCACACAATCCTCTCCCTAGCAGAGTCTGTGTTTCAGAGTCTACAAAGAAACCACCAAATCTATTAGAAATAATCCTTGCCTATTTGAACAATTCAACAGTACAACTACACAGACAAATTCAACAAAGCCTTCTGCAAGATACTGCTTCATTTTAAAGATAAACAACAGGAGGAAGAAGCAGTCAGCTGCAAGGAAGATGTGTTAACACTGTAAGAAAGCCTTTTTGGCCCAACAATTTGCATGATGTCCAGGATACACAGGAATAGCAAGTCCGTGCTGAGGATACATGCATTCAAAAAAATCTTGATCCACACTGATGCTGTACAGAATTTCCAGTTAATGTTCATTCACACTGTTCCTTACCGACCAAGCAATCCCTTCAAAGAGCATTAATTAGAATTAAGTATCTAGGAAACCAGAATTTCTGTAACCAGGTTGACAAATGTATTGAGGAAAAAAACCCAAGAGCAGTATTTAAGCAGTAACTTGCTCTGGACAGCAGTAGCTGGTCTACGGAATCTACTATTTGTAGCAAGGTCTTTACTAGACCTGAACCTAAGAAAAGGGATCTCTTACCACTCAGCCTTAGGAAACTGGGAGGCCTGGGTTCCAAACTGCAGACAGCACCTATAGAGGGAGCAGACAGCCCCAGGCCGCCATTCTTCCCACATCCCTCTTTGCTCGCCTCCCACACACTTTTTTTTGGTCAAATACAGAATTCATGCACTTTGTGAGGTCTGAAGTCATTACCCACCATTTACTACCATTAGGAACTATTAAAGAAAAATTGGCACACTTACACATTTTGCAATTTGATAAATTTGCTGGAGTCTGCTATCATATCAGGAATAGTGCCCCGGACAGGCAAGCTTCCTTGCCCCTCATTTGCCACAAATTCCTTTACAGCTCGAGCCAAAATCCAGAAGGAGGGTGACTGCAAATGTGCAAGGGACAGTCATGTAGACACACATTATTTATAATGTTTTTTCTACATTAAGTCTTTCCTTAATTACTCATTACCTGCTCTGTGAGATTCATGCAGCAATCATCATTAAAAATCTCTTCAATGCATCTTGGAATCTACAAAAAAAATTAATTGGGTTTGTATTTGCTTGACTTTCAATTTCTTGAATTATCTCAACGCTCATTACTTAGGTCAGCCAACTCTAAGTGACCTCAGAGTTTCATACCAAAACGTCTTCCGAATCTTACACAGTCAGTGCTTCTCAGACATACTGCAAATAGTAGCACTACTACAGCTGAGAGCAAGGCCCAGGCTTCTGATCAAGATGAATGTTACAAACATCTCACCTTATTTCCACCTTCTATATGGAAGACTAAAAAACCTGGTAGCAGCATCAGCAGAAAGTACTACCAGTCCCAGCTGTCAAACCTACCTGCTAGAGGCAGAGCAGCAAGATGGCCATGGAAGCAAAGAGGGGCTGCAAAAGTGCTTGTTTTGACTCCCTAACTGCTGCAGTTCAGACTGGCACATGAACTGAAATAAATCACCAATAGCTTGGGATGTGGCTCAGATGTCAGCACTACGTCTTACCCACTGCCTTCTTGGGAGACTTAACGTGCCTGCCCAAGCAAGGATCGGCACAGATGAAAAAAATGGAATGTAATCTAGAAAGAATCACAGAATGGCTTTTCCCTCATGCAGCTTTTGGATGAGACATTAAAGAAATCAGAGGTCAGTTCTAAATCATGAGTTACTACTGCAGGATTATTTAAAAACAATGAAAACTAACGTTTTTAAGCTTGATAGGTTTATGAAAGGAATTTCATAACATGCTGCTTCAAGAAGAAAGGACTGACTTTGCTGAGTGAAAGGTCCCTTGCAGCACTTAATTTCTCTACAGAATAAACACTGTACGTAGCAAGCAGCTTCAGCGTAGCACAGTTTCAACAAATGCTTTCCGAGTCTCTCTCCTAGCAAAGTAGTCTAATCGGACATCATCCACACCAGTGACTGCTACTTCACTACCATTGCACCACACACTTTACTGTTTAATCTGGGAAAGGAAATCTGATAAAGTCTGAGACAGGAGTACACTACTAATGAATTCTGGTTACAGACACATTCTATACTTGAATACACTGAAGTCTTCAGGAGGGAACGGTAGCTTGCTCACATGAGTAGGGAGACGAAAGGATTTCCATGTTACAGTGCCATCTAGTCTATGTCTACTTTACTACACATGATTTCAGAAGTTGTACCAATCCTGTTTTACCTAAATGTTGCAAATAGAATTAAAAGTGCATAACATGTACTGAAAAGAAGAGGGAAATGTCTTCTATTTTATCATATAAATGTTTACCTCTGTGGTATTTAATGCTGTGTTCACATTTTTTATAGCTTCTTCAAAGTTTTCCTCATCTTCTGGGGTCCCATTTTCATTCTTTAAGATACCTTATTGAGGAAAAAAAGATTAAAATACACAATCCTCTGAATGGCATCTCATCATTTAGGTCTTACCAACAAAGCAGACTGGCTCTGGATTGAATTGTGGCATAATAAGTAACCAGCAAAAAACGGAACTACCAGAAGACGTACTTGTAAAACTCAGTACACGTACATTCTACCCGTGATCAATCTTCCTGTGAAGTTAAACACAAAGTTACCTGTCACAAAATACCAGCTCACCCGTGTGAGAAAGAGTCGAGTTTCATAATAACTAAATTAATGTAGATGGTGGTAAAAAGGCAATTCAACTCTCCTTCCCACCCCCAGTCATGTTGTGCTGGGTTTTTTTTGTGAAATTTGGCAAACATGCACCCAGACAGTAAGCCAGACCAAGAAATGGACTCCACTAAAAACCCACTTGAACCAAATTTAAACCTAATTTAACTACGAATCAGATCAGTTCCCTTTCCCAACCTGGGGATAAGGATGACAGAATGAACTCAGCAATCTGCCCATAAGCCAGCTTTAAATGAGGAACTACCAACATTTCAGTTAATGTTTTTATTCTACAATCATTAAAAAGAATGTATTTCTAGATCTTCAACAGTCATTTTAGCACTCACAATAGGTATTAGATTGAAGCATCTGCAAAAATTAAGCCTGTTCACCTACAGCTAACAGTGTATTCAGTGGCTACACCACCTTTCTGTCTCTCTTGGCTAGTCATTCAGAGCTGCAATGATAACCCACAGTTTGGTGGGTCAACCGACCAATCAAATACTTGCAGTTAGTAACAATTTTAGTGGCAAAAGCCACTTCCTTTCCACTTTGTCACATCTGCCATATTAAACACCAACATTTTCTACAGGATTTTCTCTTAAGGCCTCTCCTCCCACCCAAATCAAAACAGACTCTTGATCGGAAACTGCAAACAGTAAGAAACACTGCCAACCTGCACTAGTAAGCAAATCTGGGACCTTTAGATCCACCTGTATAAACGCATCATTTTGCAGAAGAATCATGCCAGTAGATTTTCATAAACTAACTCTAAGAGAATGTTTTCAGAATTCTGCCAGCACGAGTAAGTGACTCCCAGGACATGTATTACCTTGCCGGATCAGCTGTCTGAAGGCTTCTTTTTCTTTGTAACTCTTAGGCAACTGATCGCTTTTCTAAATTTAAGAACACAAAAACATTGTCTTAAAATATCTCATACTAACCTCACGGCGTTCAGACTGCTGAACTCTAGAGTTCATCACTGTTCACACACACTCACTTGCATTTCAACTAGTAATATTTTTATGATTCCACCTTGTTTTATTTATCTGTTACACGTTGCCAGGATAATAATCTAGTTTAGAAAAGACATAGCTGAAGCAGTAACAACCATAACAACAGACTGATGACTTATCCAGCTTTGCAATATACCTCGCTGAACCATTTTGTTAGATACTTGGCTACAATCACAATCCAGGGAGTGTGGCTATGGTCCTGCAAATGAACAGCAGAGAAATCTTTGTCAAGTTGAGAAAAGATAAAAACAGGAGACAAATTAAAAACACATTTTAAATGTAAGCTCCTAACATCCCTTCCACTATTGTAAAAACAGAGAATGTTCTAGATTCTTATTCGGAAATAACATTCTCTAACTACTATAAAACAAACTATTACATGATTTTTCCTTTAATAAAAAAAGGGCAGCTGAGCCAAGTTCTCCAATATTTTTCTGGAGTGGAACTTACATTATGCACAACAACCCAAACTGCAAAGCTCTGCGGCAGTAGATAATTGTAAAAATAAAAGGGGGAGGGGGATCAATCTAACAAAAATCAAGTTCTCCAAGAATATTCCTTAATTCCCAAGACCCCTATTGGCTTACATTTTAAATACAGACAATCACATTTGGGGCAGAGGCCAAACACAGTACCTCGTGTCTGATTCTACAGCTGCCTCTGGCCAGATGGACTTGGCACCAAAACCAGACATCCACCAAGAGGCATTTCCACCGAATCCCTGTTCTACATCTCCATCCGTCTCAGAGCACATAGCGCAAACCACGTAACAACCTTTTTGTCCATGTGATCCAAGTCGTAAGACTGAACGTGTTCCCTCAGTTCTGGAAATGGCTTGTCCAGTCTCAGATCTTCTAACGTATTGTCAGGATGAGATTCAACAACTGTGAAAAAAAATACGCAATGAATTTCACAGTTCTATGTCCAGCCTTCGAAACAGAGCTGTACATCAAATGCAGCGCATCACCCGCTCGATTAACCGCTTAATTCTCAAAATAAGTGGGTTTTATAAGTTAACTTTGGTATCAGGATAACCTCCAATTTCACTATTTGTTGCAGTCCCTAATTTTTACGCATTCCTCAAAGAATGCTCCTGATCATGAACTGCAAACTACGTTAAGACTTAACACTACATACCTCACAAGATTTTTAAACAAAACAAATCAGAGTGAGGTTACATATTGCAGCTTCAAACCTTTTAAAAGGGTCTTCACCGCAGAAAACCCTCTAACCTGTATGTTCTTTAATGACGACTCTCATATAACCAACCAGTCCGTAAGTCCTGCAGACCAGCAGAGGAACGTTAAAATTCCAGAGAAGTTCAGCCAAGCGCAGCAATGTACTGTAAGGAAAAGCATTTTTGGTTTTCTCAGATGTACAAGAGGACAACAGTTAACTATAAAGTTAACTCTTGACTACAAGGCACTCGTGAAAGAGAAGTTTTCCATGATAGAACTCTAATACTATCTGATTCTAAGCACATATAAGGTGATAGATTTTATATGTGAATTCACAGTAGATTAGATACATATCCATTAGCTTACTGATATTTAACTCCATCCTCCCAAATGCTCCAAATATCAATTAAACAAAAAACTTCATTGAGTTGTGAAAGAATTAGATGTGTGTTGCACAAATGCAGCTCCCAGCAGGGGCAATTCCAATCAGAGGGTTCCGAATAGCACGTAAGAAATATTCATTCACAAATGCCTGCAAGGGAATCGCCAGAGCAAAGCGGCAAGTTGGCTCTTATTTCTGTGGGAGACAGCATCTCTAGCTCCTCTGTAAGCAGGGGGAGGGAGAAAATATAAAGTATGAACAACAGCCACCTCCTTCAGAAATCACAGATAAATGCGAGATTTAACTATCCACCTATCCAGCAACCTCTTGCCTCTGCGGAGGAGGCAGCTTGGCTGCTCAAACAGAAGCATTCTCTTCTCTCCCAAGTTTCTCAGTTCTCCAAGAGCTGCCATTTTTCATCTGCACCGTTTACTGGAAGGCAGCATGAAGAGGTTAGAACCCCAGTAAATCGCGAGCTTCTGGTCTTGACAAAGTTTACGCGTGCAGACGTGCATGGGTTTACATACCCATACACGCATGGATAAAATGGAGAGCTATACAAAGCATGAAATACATTTGCAAAAAACTAAAGCTATCACAGACCCCAATACCTGTTAGGGTTTGCATAAGAAGAATACTTGTTGGAGCGATTTCGGGCCAGAAACAACTTTCACCACAAAAGAGCACCTGACAGACAAACACACCTGGAGACAGCACCAGGAGTCAGGCACGGATCTGAAAGAGACTTTGAACTACGTACGAACATACAAAAAGGGCACAGAAAAATGCCCTCACTTACTGTCACCTTCCCTCAAATGACAGAGCTCTGTTTGGCATACGTTTTCCTGCAAGAATATGCCTGCAGCTGACACCTGCTTTTACAACTGCATGAAAACAACTTTAGATGATTCTTTACCTTTCTGGTAGCTGTGTTGCAACCACCAAGTTAAACCGACTGAAAAAGGAAGGGTCGTTGTCTAGAAGTTTCTCCGGACTCTAAATAGTAGGAAAAAGACATATTTCAGAAAACACTGTGAGAATTTCTAAATACACAGCAAGTCTGTTCAACATTCAACGTGAAGTGTTGAGTGAAAGTGATAAGATTATGAAGTTATACAATAATGCTTAAAATAAATTACTTGCAAAACGTTGATTTATGTAAGATCTTCTTCCTCCAACCTTGTTTTTCAGGACGCTACTTGAACTGCAACATTACCAAAGCAGCACACGGCTACACGATAACTTCGTACCTTTAGCACACTGTATAGCAACAAACACCCTACTAATTCGGGTAAACCAACCTCTTCCACAAAGTTTCCAGAAACATCGTTATTCAGCTCCTGCAAGAGCTCAGTGGCACTCTGGGCACGATGCTGTTTCAAAACAACAAAACCAATGTTTAATCTCTTGACATGTGATTTATATAGTTATCAGTACTACAGGTGTTACATGCTTAAAAAAAAAAAAACTATCATAAACTAGGATTTCCTATTCCAAGCCTTGCTTATCTGAAGAAAAGATAAATCCCTTAACAGCAGGCACTTAGGTGAGATCGTTTTTAGTAACATCATTTTAAAAAACAAGAATTATGTGACAGTTATTAATTTCCAAGAGTTACCGATGCCTTTTTCACTCTCATCATTGTGATTTTTCCCCCATCCATCTCTCCACTCTTAGCTTTACTCCTTCAACCACAATTCTCTTGCACCTCATCCTTCCAGAGACTTTCCTAACCATATCCTGTTCATTTTTTCCATTTAATCTAGCCAGAATTGAGCTTATCTTCTCACGTAGGAGCAAAAAAAAAAAATAAGCATGGGGAATTTAGTCAAAGAATGGATTTTAACCTACACATACATGTTTTCAGCACTGCGCATGTTACCTCTGAGTATTTACTCAATACTTCCATGCTTTCAATATACCTAAAGTGACCTTTGTCATTTCCTTACCTGACCAATATGGCTTTTTTGTAGAAAGAAACTGAAAAGGAGACAAGAGAGTTACATGTGAAGTATTATTTTGAAGAAAAACATTAAAGCTACATTTTGCAGTGCAGAATGTGTTGCTGACTCATACACACAAAACCAAGTTCCCCCTTAAATCTGCTTTTCCTCTCCCCACCACTGTTGTATTTTCCTCATCATCAGTTTCTTAATGAAACTTCCCAATGCCTGAGCCACAAATCTGAAAAATAAAACATGCCAAACTCCTCTAGAAACCAAGATCATACTGTAAATTCTTTTTCACCAGGCTACTTAAAGACCCATTAATACCCTTCATGTATCCTTCCCCCTCATAGAAGCCCTGTAAGTACACAAATATTTGTAGATATCTACCCAAACGATTATTTTTATAGGATTTGTAAAGAGTTTCTTATCCTTTCCCCTGCTACACACAGCTTTTCAAAAGCTATGAAAGCTAACAAATGGCTATCAGTCAGTTTCACAACGAGAAACTAATGAAAAGTAATTTATTTTCATCACCAAAGTTAGGGAAAATACTTTCAGCCATTCTGAAACAGAAGCAAATCTGGCACTGTCATATCTGAAGATTACAGTAAACAAGTTATTTTAAGGTAGTATTTTTATATTGAGTAGACCATTGCCTTTATAAACTTGGTGTGTCAAGTGAACAGGCCTTTAAGACACAAAAACAGCAACTAAAACACCTATGTAAAATGTAACAGTTAATATCAAAATGATTGTGCATGCTGCATGTGTCACAAACATCCAAGACCACAAAAGACTTGGAGAATCACGTAGAGGCTTTTAAAATTATTAAGAAATTTATAGGATTTCTTAATAAGTGTAGAGATGGAACTACTTGTGAATCCCTGCTACTTCTCAATCTGTATCGGAAACTAGTAACAAACCTACTTATTTCCAACATCTTCTCCAGAGACCCGATTGCCATCGACAATTGTAAATGAACCAATACCTAGGGAGGAAAAAAAATCACTATGAATAACCACGCGCTGTGAAGTTATCAGATACATTATGAAGAAACTGCAGAAGTGAGAGCTACGTACCCGGCAGCACTAAGTTTTTCAGTATTTCGGTTCCTGTCGCTGTTGCGTTTATCACACAAACATGGGCAGATTCTAAAGCTTCTTGGCCATGGTCACCCCATAGTCTATATTGGGATGGAATCAGAAACATTCTGAAATTAATTTATTTCGGATTGCAAAGCCAATATGAGGAGAAAAAAAAAAAAGAATTAAAAACCACAGGAGGAGGCGAGCATACTACTTTCCATTCACTGCTGAAAGGGGTAACCAGCACCGACCCAAATAAGCTTTCCTTAGGGAAACTTACTGCGACAAGCTTGAAACTTTCTGAGGAGCAACCCAGCTTCCCAGACATTTCGTTTTCTCCGTCGTTATGCTCCACACGAACGTGCACATCTTTTTCTGCTGCAACACGTTTGACTTTTAAAAAGTCAGCATGGGCCAAAACCCTCCTTACACAATTTCAGCCTAACCCCGGGTGTCCTCTTTTAAATACGTTTTGTAACAAATAACACGTTTTTAGATCATTCATAACACAAGGCACTGAAACATAGGAGCAGGCAGAAATCAGTCTCGACCAGCTTGGTAACGTATTTAAGACACCTTTAACATACTATTCAGGCTGAAATCGGGACGTGACTGCACTCAGTCACAAATGCCCCGCTGGTTTCACACGGGCGGGAGGTTCACCCTCTTCAGCGGCAGAAAATAAAGGGAACAGAGTGCGCATTACAACCGCTACTAAGCCTCTGCAGCGGGTGCAAGCGGGTGAGAACTGACCCGGCGCCACACTCCCACGCCGCCCCGCTC